ATAGTATTAGGTGACAAACTAAAACCTATAAATCTAGTAAGGTCAGGAGCTAAAAGTGTTATAATATAAGGTGAGGAGCTAAAACCTTCAAACTTAATAAGGTGAGGGGCTCAAAGCAGGCTTTTGCCCTTTCTTAGCTGTGTCCTTTAGCTCTCTGAGACGAAGACTTCACTTCTCTCCCACTCTCCTCGCCAAACCACCAGATCCAAACACGCCTCTATCTCATTTTTCTAGAACTTTCTTCGTCTGAATCTCCGGTGATTTCCAGTTTCCGCCTTCGCCAATGCTGAAGCTCAAAGATTCGCTGTTTCTCTTTCCGCTTCTGTGTGTCGGTTTTTTCCTGTTTACCGTCGAAGCTTCTGTTCACCAGTACCGCGGGGAGAGGTTCGTGACCAAGGGCAATGCCTTGGTCGTTCACGGTGGCAGCGAAGGGATTTACTCCTCCCTTACTAATAATCGCAAGGAAGAAGATGACGCCTCTGCTATTGGGGACTCTTACATCCGGTAATTCCTTTTACCTCTGGATTTTTCATAATTCGTTATTGTATTAATGAGATCTCTTGATTTTTCCTCTTAGGCTAGTGAGTTTTTGTTGAGATTGCGCAGAATTTGGAAACTTCAACTTGTTAGGATCTGATATGAAGTGTTAATTTTGGTTATAAGATGGAATTTGACTTGAAATCATAGTAATTGGTACTTGGTAGATGCTCAATGGGGAACTCAATTTATCATGCTCGGAAGATAAACATATGTGCAGAGTGCATTTTTCTAAGTTAGTACTTAGACTCAATTTATCATGCTGGGATTTTTTTCTAAGTTTTTGTTTTATAATTGGGAAGATTGAATAGGATTTTCTAGTTCCTTTTTATTTGTTCTCATTTATTTACTGGCCTGTTATGGTTTGCTTGTGCCAGCTTTGAAAAGATTACATTCCGGAGAACAGATGAATTTTCTAATTTTAGTTTGCATCCTATTCATGCAATTGTTTTTGAAGTGGAAGACAGAGAGACAATTGGGGGTTCAGCTTATGGGGGTCAAAGAGCTGTCTGCTGTTCTGCAGATCTTGCTAAATTAGGTGTGTGTTCACAAGGAGAAGTCATTTATCGGCCTTCTACAAACAATCCTAGCTGGCCTCAAGTTTTTCACGTTGCATTTAATCGAGATGAGTTGGTTGCAACTTTGCCATCAAAGTCTATACAAATTACCAAAACTGGGATGTATAACTTGTATTTCATTCACTGCAATTCAAATCTTACGGATTTGATTGTGGAGGGAAAAACTGTATGGAAAAATCCTACTGGCTATCTACCTGGTAGAATGGCACCACTAATGAATTTCTATGGCTTCATGTCCCTCGCTTTTGTGATCCTTGGCATCTTTTGGTTTTCTCAGTATGCAAGATTTTGGAGAGAAGTTTTTCCTTTGCAGAACTGCATAACATTAGTGATAACTCTTGGCATGTTTGAAATGGCTCTTTGGTATTTTGAATATGCTGAATTCAATGAGACTGGAATCAGGCCAACTGGGATTACCATGTGGGCAGTCACTTTTGGTACTGTTAAGCGCACAGTTGCACGCATAATTATTTTGATGGTTTCTATGGGCTATGGTGTTGTCAGACCTACCCTAGGCGGTCTTACATCAAAGGTTATCATGCTTGGAGTGACCTTCTTTTTGGCATCTGAAGTTCTTGAGTTGGTCGAAAATGTTGGTGCAGTTAGTGATCTTTCTGGAAAGGCCCGGTTATTTTTGATTCTACCTGTGGCAATCTTGGATGCTTTTTTCATACTGTGGATATTTACTTCCCTTTCTGCTACTTTAAATAAACTTCAGGTACTTTGCTTACATCTTAACCTAAATGATATTGTTCATTCGATATTTTGTTTTATTTGTCATCTGATGGTTAAGAATGAATTCTTCTGTCATAGCCCTTTATTTTACTTGTATATACTGAGATATGCATTAGACAGTCTTACGTACTTGGCCTCAATTTTTAGTTAAAAGAAGAAGGTGTAAAAATCAAATAGGTTATTTCAGATTAGATACTGGAGCCATCAAATAGAAATGGAAAATTTGTCAAGTCATGTATCAAGAAAAGAGGAGATTTTTGTAAGCTTCATGATATTTATCCAATATGCATTAACATAGCACTAAGATATTTACAGTTTTATTTAGACTTACTAAATGCTTAAGTGCAGTGAATCCTCTTCCTATATAATCACAAAACAAAAAAGCATATTCTTTGCTTCTATTGGCTTAAAATTAAGGCTCCTTGATTTCTTTTTACTTGTAAATTTCTTCAATTAATGGTAAAAATAAATAGTATTAATGAATTAAAAATGGTAATCCGAAGATTGGTTTCTCACAAATATTTGCTATTTGATGTGTTATCTTCCACATGCCAATGCTTCAGAACATGCCTTTGATTATGCACTCTGTTTATCCTCTTCCAAGGCCAGGAAAATACCTCTTCAAAAGGATTCTAAATGAGGGATTTCAATGAAGAAAATATAAAGAAAGGAATTTCAAATTCTAATGACCTTTCATGTCAAAAATGTTTCATCTTTTTAAAATACAAGTTAAAAGGTGGTTTTAGAAATCCCTCCTTCAAATCCTCATTTTCCTTAACTAAACTATGATCTGTGTTCCTCCTTGACAACAAGAGGAATTTGAAATTCCTTCACATTTGCTTCCTATGAAATCCCACGTTGAAATCCTTCACCAAACACAACCTCATAGTTTTGTCTGTTTCCATGGGGTTTGGTTGGGTAAACTTAGGCCTCAATTTCCTTTACATCATGTAATATCAATTTTAGTGTCTATTCTTATCATTCATTTCTGTCTGAATTGAAGCTTTTCCTCTCTGATGCATGTGACAGGCTAGAAGGATGATGGTAAAGCTGGATGTATACAGGAAGTTCACAAATGCCTTGGCAGTTGCTGTTATTGTATCTGTGGGTTGGATATGCTACGAGGTAATTAAGGATAGATATGATGGTGTTTTCTGTTTGGCTTTTCCCTAAATAGAATACTTTAATTGAATACTTATTTCAAAAGCCTGATATCTTAACACTAGAAGAAAAAGAAAAATGAAATAATAGAAATTGCAGCTTCTTAGGGGGAGGACATCTATTAAAGCTTTTGTGGGTTTTCTTACAACTATCTGGGCCTAGGCAAGAGCAGAAAAAGGTAGCATTTGTGACACTTTGAAGTAGGTAGTAAAACATTTCAGGGCAGATTAAGGTTGTCTGCTGTGCGCCCATGCCTGCGTGATAAAATATAATATTGATGTTACAGAATTCTTAGCTCAACAAGTGTATTGCTATTATTGATGTATATTTTCCTGATTTTCCTTTTTATTCTGCCTCTTAATTTTGCAAATACTTCTTACAAATTTCATAATTCTGTACCTGCAGCTCTACTTTAAGTCAAGTGACGTTTATAATGAGCACTGGCAGAATGCCTGGATCATCCCAGCCTTCTGGCAAGTCTTATCTTTCTCTCTTCTATGTGTCATCTGTGCTCTTTGGGCACCCTCTCAGAATTCAATGAGGTAAATAACTTAAGAAAAGCTTTACTTTTCCAGTAGTATGGCTCACTATGTTTTTAATTTTAAGTAGTAATTCCAATTGATCGAGTTTGTGATTGCAATCTCACTCCCCATCTCCATCCACAATATTGCTACACTCTGAGTCCTATCTTTTCTCACCCTTCATCCCTTGTAGGAGAGAGTTTTGTCTTGTCCACATCTCCATCCTTACAACTATAAACTTGCAAATTGGGTAAATCAGGATTTTTCAATTTTATGATGTCTGAAGGTAAATGGATAACAAACAACTTACTAGACAGATAAGCAAGAATTGGTTTGAGCAATTAGGTTTGAAATTTGGCATTTGTGAATGCCTATGCCCCTCATCCCTGTTTTGGAATCAATTTTAATCCTACCCATCCTTCAAAAAAATTTTCTAAATCAACACAAACGAGATGGAAGCAGGTATATATCCTAGGGAATAGAAAAATCTGCTATCACTAAGTTTGAATTTTTTTTGAAATGGCAGAAGTCACTTTAGAATTTTATGCCTTCTCAACTTGTTGAACACCATCACTTTAGAATTTTTTGTCTTCTCAACTGGTTGAACACTACTTTAATTGTTTGAATATCTTTGTAGGTATGCATTTTCGGGAGAAATGAACGAAGAATTCGACAAGGATGTTACTTCTTTGACACTTATAAAACCATCCCCATTAGCTTCAATGGATGTTCTAGATGCAACAGAAGCTAGACTAGCACAGAGAAACAATGGAACATCAAATGGTGATTTGGAAGAAGACAAGAGAGAGTGACTTAAAACCATGGTGCTTAGTGATTGCTAAATTTCTGCCTGGTTATTTCTGTACCAATCCTCCAATTGCTCATTGAATCGGAAATGTCATCAAGGTGCGAATCATAACTACCCAAAAGTCCATGGCTATTTTTCTCTCAACCTCTTTCTTAAAGGTAATCTTGTTTTTGTGTATTTGTGTAATTGTTTATTTAGTGTTTAAATTGTTCAACAATTATTATTTCAACAGTGAGGCAGCTTATCAATCTACGGTGATGCATCCTTTTTATATGAAAATATGGTGACTTTTTTTTTTTTAAATCAAAGAACCTAGCATAAGTTTTGCTTCATCGTCAAAGTCAAATAATTGTCTTTATTATTATTAGTTTTTAAGTACATCTAAAGATAAATTATATAATAGGAAATATCTCTTCTTTCCAAATTCCTTTCCACTTATCTTAGCATTTAAACTTGACTTATTTAATATGAAGACTTAAATTCTTAATTATTAGAATGCTTCTTATGAGTTATGAGACATAATTTTACCTTTATGGTTTTTTTAGTATATTTAATAATGATGAGTAATATAAAAAAATACTTTTTTTCTTAAATCCTTTTCACTTAACTCAAAGTTTAAATTTTTAATTTTTAATTTGAAAATTCAAACTCTTAACTCTTTTTGTTGTTTTTTTTTTTCCACCTTTATTGTTCTTGAGGAAGAAAAGATCTAATGTCATTTTCTACCATCTGCAAAATATGGTCTGTGTATCTGGACGTATTTCCTCATCCGAAGCACTTTGTTGTGTATCAAGACTTCAAAATTCTTGAAATTCTTATAGTCAAGCCATCGAACCCTCCCCTAAAAGCATAAAGAAATTATTAATAATAGTCTGATTCAAATGGTAGCCATGGGGTTTAATAAATATTTTATAATATCAGTTAATTTTTATTGGACTAAAAAAAAAGAAAGAAAAATGCTAAAACTAAAATAAAAACCACCAATCTAATTCCAAGGTTTACCAGTCAAAAGGAAAATTTCTACGTGCCCGAAGAACTCTATTGTATTGCCGTGGGGACAAGTAATTATCAATTCTTTTATTTATTTAAGATAAATATTTTTCCGATGAGTCCCTCGTTTTCAAAATATAAAAATATTAAATAAAAATAAATTTTAATATCAAAAGATTTATTTATTATAGTTATATAACTATTTTAAAGTAATAATAATGATATATTAATTTGAATGAAAAAAATTTAATTTTTTAATAAATTTTTAAATTTAAATTTTATAAATAAAAATCTATATTTAAAAAAATGATAAGCTTTGACGTTTTTTTTTTTAATATGATTATAATTGAAGGAGAAATAAAAAGATAAGGAAAAGGGAATTTATGGGATTCAAAACTATAATTCACAAAAATGATTTCACTAATTTAATATCAATATATCAAAATATATGGATTAAAATTTGACATGATTTAATTTTAAGTTAATTAAAATTTAATATAATTTTAAAATATTAATATTTTAAATAAAAAAATTACTTAAAAGTAACGGTTATTTCAAGTGATGATTGTATTATGCGGTGGATGTGAAAGAGGCAGATAGATACTTTACCTCCTGTAATCTAGTGACCTATTACAAGAAAAAGGAGTAAAAATTTTCCGTCTTTCCTACACAATTGACCCTGGCCAACCCTTGACCTTGAAATTATGTGGACATTATCTATGCAATGAGCGAAATTAACTCCCACCCATTAAAATTGATTAGACAGCGCAATTACATGCATTAGTTTCAACCTAAAACTTCAATTGGAAAATGTTATTAAGATAATTTTTTTATTTTTTTATGATATATTATTAAAATAA